GAAGAAAGGAAGGAGAGAAGGAGAAAAAAGGGAGAAGGAAGGATAGAAGGGAAGAAGGACAGAAGGAGAAGGAAGGAAGGAAGGAGAGGGAGGGAGGGAGGAAAAAGAAAAGGGCCCCACCACACCCTGTGCCAGGCAGTGCCCTAAGATAAAAGCCATGACCACCGAAGGCCGATGGGGGAGTGTGCATACCCAAGTGCTAGTGGGCTGAGTTCCAGCTGAAGGAGGGTGGAGATGATGCTCTTGTCCTTCCCTGATCCAGGCCTTGATAGATTCCTGTGCAGGCCCTGGCTCCCTGGCCACGGATCCTCACGTGCGCATGATCACACTCTATGACAACGAAGAGGTACGTGGAGGGTCTGGGGAGACTCACCTCTGCGGAGTCTTCCATAGCCAACTTGTGCCAGGCATCCACCGTGAGCCAGGGTTCTTCTGGGGGCCCCAAAGACAGGGGAGATGCTGCCTGTGCCTCCTTCGCCCTGGTGTCTCCTCTGGCTCAACATAGATCTGCTTCTTCGAGGGTGACCACTGCTCCTGTATCTCTCTTTGTGCCACATGGTGAGCTTCTTCTGGGACAAGGACTCTACCCAGTCTATCCTCATGGCCCCAGGGCTCGGCATGGAGTAGGTCCTCATGATACCTGCATGTGTGAGGCTGCAGTCTTAGCTGCGTTAACAGTGCTCGCACAGATAGTGCTGTCTCATGTAACGACCCAGGCCGGAGTTAGCACTTTTAGGTGGGTCCCTGCCATCCTGAACACATGACTGCTATTTCAGGATTCAGGGTGGCCGTTCCAGCTGTGGCCATCAGGTATCCACTGAGTTAGTAGGAAGGGACGAGAGGGCAAAGGGGAAGTAGACACCTTATGGCTTTAAGGGCGTGATCCAGAAGTGGCGTTCATCACTGCTGACATTCCACGAACTTAGCGTGGTTGTGTGTGTAGCCGCAGGGCAGGCTGGGAATGTCATCTCTAGCTGGGTAGTTAAGTGCTTAGCTGCAAGTTGGGTGTTATGTTATGAAAGATATCATGGCTGGGCATGGTGGCTCACACTTTTAATCCCAGCACTTTGGAAGGCCAAGGCGGGTGGATCATGAGGTCAGGAGTTCAAGACCAGCCTGGCCAAGATGGTGAAACAGCATCTCTACTAAAAATACAAAAGTTAGCCAGGCATGGTGGCAGGCACCTGTAATCCCAGCTACTTGGAAGGCCAAGGCGGAGAATTGCTTGAACCTGGGAGGCGGAGGTTGCAGTGAGCCAAGATCACACCACTGCACTTCAGCCTGGGCAACAGAGTGAGACTCCGTCTCAGAAAAAACAAATAAAAGATATCACGAACAGTTAGCAGTCTCTGTCATATGCATAAAAGAAAATTGACCAGTGTGGTGGGGCACCTCTGCTAAGGCCCAGATGTGAGGTCACGGGAAGAGGAAGGGAAGCAGTGCAGGAAACCCACCAATGCTGTTTCTGCCCCAGAAAAGACTGCAAGTCAGTTTGGCCCCAGACCACCATCTGGTGATCAGTGATGACCCCGGGTTAGGGGTGTTGGTAAGAACACCCAAGTGACTCTGGAGTTCTGGGCCAGTTGGGCAGTGGGCCCCTCTCACTGACTTTCAAGATCAGGCCCCTGAACCCAAATTCCCCGAGTCAGGACTCTGCTGTCGCCAGGTGGGGTCTGAGAGCGCACAGGGAGCACAATCACTGCTGACAGAGCTGGTGCTGCGGCGGATCTCAGCCTCGTGCCAGCACCCGACGGCCTTTGAGGAAGCCATACCCAAGTCCTTCATGATCAGCGCAGACATGGCCCATGCCGTGCACCCCAACTACCTGTGAGTCTCACGTGCCAGACACACAGTCTTCATATAGCTGGAGACCCAAGCATAACCTGCCTTGAGGCTCTGCCCTGGCCCCAGCCTCTTCCATCCTCCCTTCTTCATTCTGCTGGGAGGTTCAGGGACACTTTCTTTTCACTATTGCAAAACTGACTTGGTCAAAGTCATGCAATGCCTAACCCACGTGTGTGGAATAGGCTTTGTCTACAAACTTGTTTCCATCTATTGCTAGAGGCTGCCTGGAATCCTGTCTGTGGAATGACTCTGAAGTCCCCTGGGCTGGGCGGGAAAGAGTGCTGTGATCTATTAGTGATGTCTGCCATGGGAGGGTGGTGAGTATTGACAGGCTTGCTCCTGTTTGCCAACCCTGGCTCTTATCTGTCTCTTACAGGGACAAGCATGAGGAGAACCATCGGCCCTTATTCCACAAGGTAAGACATGCCATTTCTCCCTAGGGACTTGGAGGCCTGGCTCATTCCCTTTGGGCCTGTCATTGCCTTTGTCTCCTTGAATCTCCCCAGGGCCCCGTGATCAAGGTGAACAGCAAGCAACGCTATGCCTCAAATGCAGTGTCAGAGGCCCTGATCAGAGAGGTGGCCAACAAAGTCGACGTCCCCCTACAGGTGAGGGTGTCCCCTGCCTGGGAAGGTGTGATGGAGGGAGCTTGGTGGGGACACAAACAGATGGGCTCCCCTCACCATGAACAGGGAGCCTGGTAGATGGCCTTGAGTGAAGGGGGTCCCAATAGAGTCAGACGAGCAGTGATTTTGGATACAGCTGGATTCCGTGCTGGTTCTGCTGTGGTGCTAGCTGTGTGACCTTGGCCTAGTCTCCTAACCTTTCTGAGTCTCAGTTTCCACATCTGTAGAATAGGATGATTATGATGCCTACTTTGCTGGATTTCTTTTTTTTTTTTTTTTTTTTTTTCAGCCCCTGTGCATTTTTTATACATACTT